TAATAAAAAACATAATATCCAAATCATATTTACAAGTCCGTCTTATTTAAAGGTGAGGATGTCTCACACTTGGGTCTACTTCACTTAGAGAAGATTTTTTAGGAGCACTCTTATCACAAGAGTCACTTCTAAAAGTTTTATGTGTTTTTGTTTGGTTGTTTTATAAGTCAAACCACTGTTTTTTTGGGTTTAGAAATAAATAAAATAAACTAAATGAGAAATAAGTATTTTATTATTATTTATAAATCGAAACTACTTTAAGCTTGTGGTTGATTAATCTCCTTTCATAGTGGTCGATTTTGTAGAAATAAAACTAGATCTAAATCAGTAAACAAAGCGGAAAAGTTAAATAAGAAACGCCAGAGAAACCTAGAAGAGAGAATATTTTCAAAGCGCTAAATAAACAACAAAATCTAGAGGTCGAAATGCACAACAACTAGAGGAATTTGAATCAAAAACTTAAATACTGATAAAAGAAATATCCTCTTTTAATCCCCCATCAATCTCTCAAGTAATTAAAACGTAGAAATCAAATGATGGGTAGTAAAAGCAAATTAAACCAGGTCCTTAAAATGTGTGTTTATGGATCTATGTGTTTGGTGGATGCAATTGTTGTCATCATAGTTGACCTTGCTTAAATAATTTTTTTTTTTTTTTTAAAAAACACACGGTTTTATAATTGGTGAGTTTTCACGGAAGAATAAGGAGATAGTATATGCAAAACTTAACAAATAAATTAAAATTAAAAAAATGGAAGAATTATTTTTTTTTATGCAATAACTAAGAAATATGTATGCAAAACTTAACAAAAGACTCAAACCACTTTTAGATCCATATTGGTTCAAATTTTTTTTCGTGTTTTGGGTTTTGCCGTCGTCAGATCTTGATTGAAAATGGTAATTTCATTCAAGCAAAGATCTAAGTGTTTTTATTTTGAATACTAACGCTTTGGTGCATTTGATTTGTCTTCAACTCCTGGGATTCATATTTGATCTGTCTTCAACTGTTGGGATTCATTTCTCTAGTCGGATTACCTAGTAAAAATCTCTATTATACTTTTAGTTAATTTGATTTTAATTCAAGATTTAATTGAAATATTGAATTTTGTTTCTTATTTCTCGAGCCTATTTTCTCATACCAGTTAAAGATTATTCATTACATAGGGGCCGATTGGTAACGACTGTAAGTTTTGGCTTTAGAAGCTTTGACTTTAAAAATTTGGGCTGAATAGAATTTGGCTGTAAAGACTTTGGCTTTAGAAACTTTGGCTCTTAAAATCTGATTGGTAACACAAAACTGTAGAAGCTGTGACTGTTATTTATTATTATTATTATATATTCATAATAAATATAAATTATGTTAGAAATAAATTCATATGTAAATATAGTTTTATTAATGATAAAAATTTAGAAAAAACCATAAATTGATAAAGAAATGAATAAATAAATAGATAATTATTCTCTAGAAATAAATAATATATAGTATTCATTCATTTTTAATAACCAAACATTGCAATAAGAAAAAAAGAAAAAAAAACTAAAAATCCATTATTTTTTTTTGCAGGAACTTAAAATTCATTATTAATAATAAAATATTATTTTAAAAGAAATGATAAAAGTTTAGAAATAAATATTCTAAATGCACACATTTATTTATATTTATTATTTCATGCGGAAAATTAATACCCAACACATTAGTAAGAAGTGGGATAAAGTTAAAAATGTTATATAGTTTTTGAAAAAAATAGTAATTCTATATCCTCTTTTAAACCAATATTAATGAGGATGATGAAAATAAAATGATTATTAGTGAAATGGATCTTAAAAAAAGATAGAAAAATGATAATAATTAATTTATAAATTAAAAATTATGAAAATATTTATGTAAACATGTAGAGAGTTTTTAATTATCATGGGGTTAAGAAATAAAAAGCTTTTAATTGTTTCCTTATTTGATAAATGTTCCCAGAAAATTAAAGCCACGTTTTTTAGACTTTAGAAAAAGAAGGAAAACAAAGAAGGAAAAAAAAAAGGCTTTGAGAGCTTTAAAAATAATTAAAGTCAAAAAAGCCTAATTGGCAAAAATAATACTGTGAAGACTTTAGAATAGCCCTAAAGTCTTTAAAGCCTTGTGCCAATCACCCCCATAGTGGTTTTAAAGCTGGCCAACATTTTGGATGAAGATCAACATTTTAATATACAAGAGACTATCTTTGTTGTACTCCTAGCTCATAACAAGGATAAGACTAAGGAAATCCTATCAGAGGATGGTGGCTTGCAGTGGATTCTCCTTGCTTTAGATGCACTTGTCAAACATTAATGTTGTAATTTGTTTGATTTTCGCACAAATCAGATTCTCGAAAAAACTTTTTTTGAATACGAACTCAATAATTTAATAAATCATAAAATTTACCGCAAATATAAATAGTCATAAAATTATGTAATTTAATTCTTTGCATAGAAAACAATTTTATTTCTTAAAACATCTTATATTGTGAAACAAAATAAATGTCGAAAACATCTTACAATATGAAACAGAAGAAGTGCAATATAACCCAAAAAAAAAACATATACAATTACTAAAAATATAAGGAAAAAACATAGTATATATATAAGTAGTTGCACTATGTTTAGAATACACGATCTTAAATAATTTGATTCATAATTCAAATGCAAAAAAGATCCAGATATATTCAAATCATGTGAAACAAATTAAATTTAGTATTTACATAAATCTTGAAAACTAAATTTTATAATTATAATTGATACGAATTCCAAGAGATAATATGTGAAATGGTGATATTTTTTATTATCCTATACTATTATTTGGGGAGTACAATTTATAATTACCCTTTAATAACCTTTCCATTTGTAAGTTATTACATTAGAATGCCATTAGAGATAAAAATATACAAAGAGTAAATTAATTTAGCTCATTAAGGATAAACAAGTCAAATACTAATTTATGAAATTTAATTAATTTAATTTTAAAAAACGAAAATATAATATTAACTTAAAAAAAAGAATGACCAATCAAAATGAACATATAAGATTTGATATCTAACTTACCATATTAATTTTTTATTAATCATAATACTTCACCTCTCATCTTTATATGATTCTATTTTTATGAAACAAATAAATCATCATATCATCCATATAACAAAAAAAAAAAAAAATCTACATATGCCAAGATTTGAATTTTTAAAAACGAATATAAATTGTTAAATCTATGAAGAAAAAAATTTAACGGGTCAAAAATTCACATTTGAGTAATATAATTATTTTAACCATAAATAAGTTCAACAAAAATTTCGACTGAGTAACGGGTCAAAATTTGAATATTTATATTCAATTTCATACATTTATTTTTTGAAATGTATTATTTTATATACTACAATAAGATTTTTAAATATTTTAATTTGCAACATATAAATTAGTTTTACTTGATATTCTTCAAGAATATCATCAATAGTTAAAGAATATCATCAATAAATACTCTAATTTGATTTTTGTTTTTTTAAATATTTATAATAGGCAGTGGGTTAAATATAATATATTATATTAACAAATGAGTTATGATCCTTATAACTGTTTGAATATTTCTATTTAATTTCATATAATTCTTTTTTGAAATTCATAATTTTATATACTACAAGAAATATTTTTAAAGATTTTAATTTGGAACATTTAAAAATAGTTTAGTTTAATATTTTAATGAATATCATAAATATTTAATAGATTAAAAAGATAAAAAAAATTATAAATACTTTAATTTGATTTTCTAAAAAGATATATTTAAAATAGTTATAGTAGGCGGAGGGTTAAATGTAATATATTATATGATATAAAGTTATGATCCTTATAATAGACGGCATGTTAAGATTATATGATCAAATAGATTAAATAAGGTTGACACCACAAAATATTTGAAAATTTGATTGTGCAAGCAATTTTGGAAATAACGAATAATAGATTGTGCACACAATATTTTCATTATGATTCTAAAATAAAAATATAGACTCCACGCATGGGTTGAATTTGATATATTATATACTAAATATATGTTCATAACATATTTGATTACGCGAATAATTGGTAAATTCCGTAGCTACCTCAAACAAATCTCTATTTCAACAATCAAAGAATTAGAAATTGAAAAAAGAATTTCCTAAATTAATTCCAATAATAGCTAACTTTCTTAATTAATTAAAAATAATCTACGTTTTAGAAGTGATTCATTTATAATATTTTGATTTTTGATCTAACTGAATTATATGCAATCTCATTTTGTGGTTGTTAATATAAATTAACTCATTATTCAGACCATATTAATTTATTAAAATAATTTTATTTTCCGTTTTCATATCTTAAAAATATATATCCATAATTGAGTATAATTAAAAAAATATATATATTCATTCTAATATTATATATAGGGACTGACAAAAATCTAATTATATTTTTTCAATTACTATTATAATATATCACAATTTTATTCTAAAATATACTCCCTCCGTTTTCGAATAGTTGTCGTTTTAGAGCATTTTTTTGTTTTAAATTAGTTGTCGTTTTAAGGTAATAATGTAACTTATGCCAATAACTACCCAAATTACCCTCATTTAATTAAACACAAATTATTTGTAAATAATTACTTGTCATTTTTATGAGGTTAATATAGTCATTGTATACCTTTTCTTAATTTGTCTAAATACAGTTAAAACGACAACTTTAAAAAAACAGAGGGAGTATAATATATAAATTTTGTAATAAACAAAATTTAACCCGGATGATGATCTAGTTTTTCTTTTGTAAAACTTGAAATGGTGATACCTAGTTTTATGCAGAAATTGATATCCCGTTTGGTAACACATCTCACTCTATAACCAAACAGGACATTTTGATACTCATATCTTAATTGGTAACAAGTTTAACTCTATAACCAAACAACACCTTTAGAGCCTTATCTCACACATAAACAAACAAACACACGAAGAACTCAGGATTGTCTAAAGACAACAATGGCGAAGAAGAAAGAGCTGTTATCAAAAGCACCATGGAGAGGCGACGACGATGATGAATCTGATAAGTTTAGCAACGCAAAGCTTAAAGTCACCAAAGATTCTGATGGTATGTCGAAGATGCACGTTCCTAGTCGTGGAACCAAAAAGGGAAGTCTCGCTGATGATGATGATGATGATTCACTTGAGATTGATCCTCAGCTTCGTTACAGCTTCAATCGCAACTATCAGGTCTCTTAAACCCTCTCTCTTGGTTCGGTAATTCTAGGTTTCGTATAGTGAATTTGCTCCTCTCTGCTCTGCTCTTAGGAAATTGGGGAATTGCTAGTAGATTGTGGTAACGTTTGTTCTGTTACTTGTTCACACATCTTTAGATTGATGGGTAATGGAGAAATGTGAAAAAGGTTTAACCTTTATGTTTATGTGTCTAAGATTAATAACAATCAATCAATCTAAGCGTCACTGCTTAGTGTTGAAACCTTGTGTTAAGCTTGAGAAGAAGTAGATTTAGCTGCAAAGAATGGATTTTTAGCTCTCTTTGTAACATAAAGTTTCGATTTTTAACATAAAGTGATACACTTGCTTGGTGTCTCTACATCATTCAAACTTGGAATTTTGACCTTTTTTGCACGTGGATAGAATCTTATATAGCAGATTAACATTTGTTGAAGAACTGTACCGTAACTGTAAGACTGTTTTAAAGGGATCTTCGTATTCTTACATGCGTTGGTTTCATTATCGGGTGGTACACTTTCGTAGAAAACATCTGTGTAGTTTGATGTAGACTTGCTTCCCCTTGGTGATAGACTGAAAATTTTCGACAAAAGTATCCTATGAACAGTTGGTTGGTCAGTTTTGTTAATTCCTCTTCTGTTGTTTAAGGCACATCGGTGATAGACTACTTAGTAAGTTAGTTGAGGAGATACTTTATAGCTACTTCTTTTCAAATAGTTTTTGTTCATTCCTTCTTTATTGCCTCTGCTTTTCTTTATCCTTGGGAATGGAACAGTTTTGAATAGAACTTTAATCATGACACTGCATTCATCTGGAACTGTCTTTATACAGAAACATATTTTATGCATTCACCGGGTGTTCACATTCAAGCGATTTTTGAATAGCTTTGATTTCCTTTCGATAGATTGTAACATCTATTTATATTTTATACCGTTAAAACCCTATTTCCTAAGCTGTAAAGTCTGCTTCTCTATTACAGTTCCTGCAAAGTGTATTCACTATAGACACTTTGGTGAAGCCTCTCCCTCCTGCAATGGCATTCAACGTCTCTCGCAACTTGAGCTTCTTCACCCGCATTTTCACTCAGTTCTTTGGTGAGCATTATTTTTTCCGATGCCATATGTTAATTCAACGGATTAGATAGTCAAATGTTTTCTTGTCGTATGGTAAAAGTTGTGATGGCATTCTCAGTATGATACCCTTGAATTGTTGTGCTGGTATGTGGTTTTAATGGTTGATATGGTTGATGCAGATCCTGAAGGCATTGCAAATGCACAGAAGTCTCTGGGGTTGGGGCAGGAAGATAAAGCGCGCCGTGTTCGTTGAAATACGACCATCTTTCAAGCTTGTGAATGAAACCAGCACTGTTAGATTGATTAAAATATGTCCTCAAAGAGATGTTTTGTATGAATTTTCGTAAGTACAATGAAATTTCCAAGTTCCATTTTAGCACTAGGCTTCCCTGTTTCCATCAATATAAACTACTTTGATTCAAACCCAACCTTGGTTCCATATGCGATGCCTCAACAGTTTAAAGTTTGGAACAATCTGATACATCTGTTAACTCCGGGTGAGAGTTCACGCTATTAGGGTACCATGGAGCGATTGATAGAATACTAAATTGGCCTACATCATTTGTGGCAGTGGGGGCCTGCGTTCGCGCAGCTCCTTCCCAATCCTTCTGGTTCTAACATTCTTTCATGGTAATGTTTAAAGCTTTCATGTAGTTTTAGTTAACCTGCAGCTACATGGTCAATACAAAGAGAATTTAATGTCTTTATAGGCTAATATTAGTATTCATGTTGGGATTCTATAGCAAGACTTATCGCAATGCCTTGTGTGTGTGAATATAACTTCATAGGAATGATGGTTCACAACAAGTTTCACCATATACCAAGTTGCTTCAGAATCAGAGATTATCATTCAAAGAGTTGTTAAACACCTTGTACGGGAAATCGGCTTTTTCATACCTCTAAAAATGTGAAATTTATACCTAACTATATCGTTGTATTATAACATACCTCAAGTAGTGAAACATTTGAATTTCATACTAGCCATCATGTTTTGTGCAAAATCAGGCATATGCCGTAAATCTCGACTACTTGGAATTAATCCACTTATGCACCTACGTGAATTTGTTTTATACGAGTTTAGTTAATGTTAAAGTATAAATTCCTCATAAATCGAGATTTGATATTTTATGTTTTTATTTTGTTCTAGACAGAAAATATTAAATCTCGATGTATGTTAATTTGTGTTAAACATGCTTCTATTGATACAATAATATTATAACTACTGTACCGCGGGTAAATATATTTATTTGTTATAAAGTTATCATATTGTTGTATTTTTTTTATTATGTTTATTGGTATAAACTTATGTTTGATTTTGGGCACAACGCGGGTTGATTTTTTTATAATTAAGAAATTATATTTTAAGTTATATTTGTTTTGTTAGTATTGTTTGTTTTGTTTCGTGTTTAAGATTGTATAATTCTATTTTGATTGTTAATTTTATGAATTTACCCGTGGTATATTATCCCGTATTTATATCAACTTAGATAACTAAAGATAAGATTAGGATGGGTGTGTTGATTATGATGTCTAATAATTGCCTCACAAGAGGTATACATATATTTATATTGTAAATACCAAGACTTTAATTTTATCTTTGGCATACATAATAATTTAAATTTATGAAAACAGCTACGTAAAGTTCTTTGATGAGTTTTTCCAGTTTTTAGTGGTTTGGATTGGTTTGGTTTTATTGGATTGAATAATGCTACTTGAAGTTGAAGATTATAGCCAATTTCATTATTTAGAGATAAAACAAAGGAAAACACTTCTAGAAAATAACTATGGAAACCACTACTTTTAATTATATTGGTTTTCTAAAATTAATATCAATAGAATTTAAAAGAACATTTGACCTACAACTTTTTGTGAATTTTTTTTCTATTTTTGCTTATACTTTGCTTATGTTTTGCTTATATTTTGTTTAAATTTATTAATTTATTTTTCATTTCTTTTATTTTCAGTTTATTTTTTTTGTATATGATGATAATTATGTATTGATAGAGTTATGAACTTGTAGTAATTAAACAATTTATCATTAAATGCATGAAAATTTAGAATTTAGCGTTTTGGAAAGTATATGATATAGTTATATTGATTTTCTAAAATTATTATCAATAGAATTTAGAATTGAAATGTTTAGAAAGACAAAAACTTTTAAAATTATTTTGATTTCCGTTATTTTAAAACCGGTATTACATATTACATTATATAATATTCTATAGTATTTTGGTTAATTAATAATTTTTTTTCATCTACAACTCATACATACACAATATCATATATGAATCGAGATTATGATGTAAATGATATGAATCCAAATTATGATGTAAATGCAACCACCTATCCTAGCCATCTTTCGGATTCCAACTGTCATGGTTCCTTAGTTGATCGCAATATCCGTAACTCCCACACCCATTGTACTCATCGCATTACACCTCTGGCGCTAACCGGAACATATCCCAATCCTGAGCAACTTGGTTCCACCTGAACTGCTGCAACAGACCTTTGTAGCTCACAGTCAATCTTTAAGTGATGTCGCTGCTTCTGTTGGATTATCTAGCTGTCTTTAAAGTTTTCAGTTGCATTTTTGGTACACCGATTTTATTCCACATGCAGAGAGGCACGATAGACGGGTGTGTCTCTGTAACAAAGTAGAAGCTCAGGGAGACTTCTTGATTCTTCCAAACGAAGAGAGTAAAGGCTGATTGAGGAATCATCTAACCGTCTCCATGATATGAAAGACCGGTTTATCCCTAACTGCATTTCCGGTAGTAAGGTATCCATCAGAAAGTCGGAACTTTCCAAAACGATTTTCCTTTGGATGTCTTTCAACACAAAATTATCGTCGGTCGTTAGCAGTTCGGCCACCACCACCGTTCCTTTGTTAATTGTGGTAGACCAGACTTCTTTACCACCCTTCTCCTACTCTAGAAAGAGCCCGTTTGCAGAGAATTTCGAAATTCCCGAGAAAATCATCGGAAAGTCACTGTTTGCGACCCAAAGAAAACTTTTCACTGGGTGGTTTTTTAACCATAAACCGAGGAAGAAGCTTATTCCCATCTTTAAGAAACCGAACTCATACTTACCCGACAAAAATATCTGATTCCCAGAGAGACTTTTAGTTGGTAACAACTTGTTTGTAGAGTTGCTTGTAATCCAGAAGGTGGTTGAAAACAGAGCCACAACCAAGAAGAAGAATAAGGTAAATTCACTATCTTTTTTTTTTTTTCTCTTCTCTTAGTTGGGTGAAATGTGGAATAGTGTTTTTGGAGGGAAAAATATAGAATCTTGTTTTTAGTGGAAAACTACGGAATTATTTTTTGGTGGGAAAATGCGGAATCGCGTTTTTTTGGCAGAAAAATTACGGAATTATGTTTTTGGCGGAAAATGTGAAATCACGTTTTTGGCTGAAAAATTACAAAATTATGTAATCGGCGGTAAAATGTGAAATTATTTTTTGGCGGAAAACTGTTGAATCGCGTTTTGGTAAAAATTACAGAATTATGTTTTTGGCGGGAATAATGTGAAATCGTGTTTTTGCGGAAAATGATGAATCGCTTTTTGGCAAAAATTACGGAATTATGTTTTTGGTGGAAAAAATGTAAATTTATGTTTTTGGCTGTAAAATGTGGAATCGCGTTTTGGCGGGAAAATTAATTTCATGGTTTTAATAGTTAAATCATGTTTACTTTGGTTTATTAAAATCGGTTTAGACATGTGATTCGGTTATCTTTGGTTTACACATTTGATTTAGATTGTTTACTTTTTATTGGTTTGGTAATAAAAAACCCACTAATCCATTCTAATCCAAATCATTTCAGTTCAATTTATTAAATCCATTAATCCATTAAGAACCAAATTTTTATCCATAAATTTGGATTGATCCATAAATTTTTATCTATTTTGACACCCATAGGTAAGAATCTAAGGAAGAAAATATTTTAGTATGAGAATGAAAAGGTTGGTGATAATTTTGTAGGACCTGTTCTTAATGATCCCTATGATTCATTTTGTCAAAATTCTACTATAGTTTGCGTTCCATAAAATGTAACAAGGTGAATATGAATTTGTGCATTGTTATTTAAAACAAATCAACAGCTTTTATGAACATCAGAATAATGAAATTGGCTATAATCTTCAACTTGTGATAATTTTGTAGGACCTGTTCTTAATGATCCCTATTATTTCTCTCAATTTGTGCATTGTTATTTAAAAAGATGTAGGTCAAATGTTCTTTTAAATTCTATTGATATTAATTTTAGAAAATCAATATAATTAAAAGTAGTGGTTTCCATAGTTATTTTCTAGAAGTGTTTTTCTTTGTTTTATCTCTACATAATGAAATTGGCTATAATCTTCAACTTCAAGTAGCATTATTCAATCCAATAAAACCAAACCAATCCAAACCACTAAAAACTGGAAAAACTCATCAAAGAACTTTACGTAGCTGTTTTCATAAATTTAAATTATTATGTATGCCAAAGATAAAATTAAAGTCTTGGTATTTACAATATAAATATATGTATACCTCTTGTGAGGCAATTATTAGACATCATAATCAACACACCCATCCTAATCTTATCTTTATTTTGCAAAAAATTTAAGTAACGCGCATAGTCAAATATATCACATTATAATAGTTAGTAGTAATTGCCAAATAATTACTCTCATAAATTTTCAACAAATAAATAAGTCAAACTTTCGATATTTATTGGACTTTGTTATCTTACCTAAAATCAGTTATATAATAATTTGGTAATGTTTTTAGGCACTACTTTCATCATTATAGACATCCTTCACATATACTACATTTTCATTTCTTTTGTGACAGAATTTTTTTCACATTTTCGATCGAGGTATTACGTGATCTCGGAATATCTACAAATAATATATAACCATTATAGTGATAAAAGTACTCACATGTATATTATCGGTTTTACGAGCGTAATATTTTATGGTCTTCTCTATGATCTATAATTTAATTATGTAGATTTATTTATTTATATTGAAGAATTTTGTTTTTCATTTTGTTAATATATATCAAATGTGCATATATTTTAAATTGTGATTATGATTTTATTCTCATTCAATTTTTTTTATTTAGGGGCTAAGGGAGAAAATAAAACAAAGAAAAATGGCTTCTAACCGTTGTGCTGTTTGCAAGATCTTGAAAGAAACTTGTGCTCAAGGATGCATCTCCGCACCATATTTTCCATCGAACGATACGAGTTTCGAAGATGTCAGTAATGTCTTTGGAGCCATGAACATTCGCAAGATCCTCGTTGATCTTAATACCCCTGAACAACGTCAGATTGCTGCCAACTGCTTGCGCTATGCGGCTAAGGCTCGTAGACGTGACCCCATTTCTAGTTGTCATGGCATAATCCTACACCACAAGAATATTCTCAATAATATTGAACAAGATATTGAGTCTACAAAGAATGAGCTTGAATCCTACGTGGGACCCGATCGAGTGCCTAAATTTTTTGATCTTCCTATGCCAGAAGATTTCCTCACTACATCAGCCTCTTTAGATTTTTTCGTTGAAAAAATAAAGAGTCTAAACGCAGTTCAAAAGAATCAACTTATGCAACTCCCAGCTGCCGATGCGCAAATGATAATGGGTAAAATATTTTGGAAGGGAGAAGATCAAAAGATGGATGGTGGTCATGGTCCCGGAGCTGATGGCGCTTCAACATCGGCTGGTTAGTGATACTCAAGAGATACTTCTATTACCTGAAAACCAAAACCAAAAATAATTTTAATTAAATTTCATTCGTCTGTTTTTCCTTTAAACTCCAATTCCATAATAATTTTGTGTCGTTTTCCTTTATTTATAACCATTTTGTCATAAATCTATGTAGTTTCGTTTAATAAAATCGATGTGGTTTGATCTATTCTCCTATGATGTTTCCTTTTACATGGATTAGACAATAACGAAAAATACATGTAAAGATCTTTTAAATCGATCAAAACCTAGAATTTTGCTAGATCATATAAAAAAAATTTTTTAAAGAAAAACTTATGAATAAGATCTTAAATGAGTAAGGTTGGATTTGTGTAGATACTTTTATTACAAATACATATATGTGATCTTTGATATTTGTATCATGTATAAAGGTTACAGAGTTGAAATGTAAAACCTAGTATTTCTTAATTTATACACCAATGATTGAGCTAAATCTACTATACGTTAATGATTGAGGTAAATCTACTCTATCGTGGATAAACCTATGAACTAATTGTATATATTTATATCACAAATACATATATGTGATGTATAATATCGATATCCTCTAGAGAGTTTATCGAGTAAAAATGTCAATACAACTAGTATTTTCTGATTACTTCGCCATTCAACGAGTTCAGTCTATTTTACCGTGGTTGTCATATTAATTAGTATATATTAAATATAAATGATTGTAAATTAAAAAGTAGAGAAAACAAAAATTAATAATATAAAATAAGCATTTAACAAAATCTTCTTTCATGAAAATCCCTAATTGACTTCCACATTTTATTTTCAACACCAAACCAACCTTTAAATCCTAGTTGCCATTCTCTTTAACCTCTTTTGGTTATGAAAAAAGTTATGTGGCATTTAGAACTTATAAGTTGGAGAACAATTTTTCTGTTCTTGTAAGTACACAATATTGTGATTTTACAGGACAATTTTTAAAGCTAAAAACTAAGATCCAAGAAAAATGCTATGTCTTTGTTTAGGATAATGTTGGGTTGACTGATGCCAATTTTTAAGTTGAGCTCGGTTATAAATCCAATATTGATCTTAGGATGGAACTAAAGAAATTTTGTGAAATGCTAGTTCAATTTTTATCGTTGTACAAAGAAGTAGAGTAATTGGTGATTAGTCATATGTTTCTTAACTTCTACTCATATCTATGTTTTACTATACATATGAGTTCGGAGTATGCTATATCTACTCGGTAATTAGGCTTATGCGAGGACTTCACATCACCAAAAAAATGGGTCCTTCTTAGTGGCAAACATCTAATTTACAATTACTTGCTTCACATCACCAAGAAAGCAGTAAAAAAATTTTGCTCGATCATAATCTTCCACAATTGCAGATATGGTTGCTCCTATTTTTCCAATGCATGTGGGAAAGTTTTGGAATTCTAAAACTTGAAACTTTACAATTAATAACAATTACATATCTTAGTTTTTGCCTAGAATAGTTTTCTACCGTCCTCAAGTACTGTTCCAACTGTTACAAAAATAGCCTTTGTGACTTGTGACACAAACAACTGGAAAGCAACATATTAGACTCTGAGACCCTCACGAGATTGCATGCATGAGACACTTGTGAACATAGCCGCAGCTAAAAAGAAGTTTGGTAAGAGAGAGAAAGATAGAGAATTGAAATAGAAACCAACTGTCACAAAATTATCAGCACATGAAACCAATTATACCATACCGAACCAAACCAACCAACTACATTTCCTCATTATATAACTGTGAACTCCACTCAAACCAATTTTCAAACTCATTCTTCTTAAGCTCCATTAAAACATTATTTCACTAAATTATAATTTAATGGGCATTCTCCGTTTTGTATTGTTGGTTAGTTTGAGTTTGGTTCTGTTCGGTTTAAAAACAACCGTGTCACAGCCACAACAGCAGGCACAAGTCCCATGTTTATTCATCTTCGGTGACTCCTTAGTGGACAATGGAAACAACAACAGGTTTAATCTTGAATTTTTCTATGTATTAATGTGATTTTTTCTATCTATGTGTTACACAAATTCATAGTAATTTGTATTAATATGTGTAGGTTGCTTTCGCTTGCGAGGGCTAATTACCGACCTTATGGCATTGACTTTCCCCAAGGTACAACGGGACGGTTCACCAACGGTCGCACCTACGTTGATGCACTAGGTATTTGTCGGCGAATTTTGTATGTACCACGTTTTGTAAAATTATTGTAGTATATACCAACGTGTTTAGAAAATATTTTAGATACGTTTATTATTTCAATACAAGTCATACTTATATGTTAAAACTATTTTGGGACCTAAAACCTTTAAAATATATTCTAATTTTGTCATTGGTCCTCTGTGCAAAATGTACACTTTACACATGTCTAGAATTAGAAACGGTCATGGTGCTTAGAGGGAGTTTGACATTTTAAAACACAATGCAAACACTGAAAATTTGTTTACTAATGAGTTAACATTTTTTTTTTGTAGCTCAAATTCTTGGATTTAGGAATTATATTCCACCATATTCCAGGATTCGTGGCCAGGCTATACTAAGAGGTGCGAATTTCGCATCTGGTGCAGCTGGCATTAGAGATGAAACCGGTGACAACTTGGTACACAAACTATAAATTTTTATTGATCCATCGTCAAAAATTTAAAAGAACCATCAATTCTATTGTAAACATAAACCGAATTATACTACAAATGTTTTTGTAGGGTGCACATACTTCAATGAACCAGCAGGTAGAGCTGTACACGAGCGCGGTTCAACAGATGCTTCGATACTTCAGAGGAGATACAAATGAGCTGCAAAGATACTTAAGCCGGTGTATCTTTTATTCGGGAATGGGAAGTAACGATTATCTCAACAATTACTTCATGCCTGACTTCTACTCAACCAGTACCAATTTCAATGACAAAACCTTTGCACAGTCTCTTATAAATAACTACACACAACAGCTCACGGTAAGGGTTGATCAATAATGCATAATCTATCTCAATAGATTCTACTTATTATCTTGATTCTTTTTTCTTTTCTTAGCGGTTGTACCAATTTGGAGCTCGGAAAGTGATTGTGACTGGAGTGGGACAGATTGGTTGCATACCTTACCAGCTCGCCCGCTACAATAACCTTAACAATAGTACTGGCAGATGCAACGACAAGATTAACAATGCAATCGTGGTGTTCAACTCTCAAGTCAAGAAACTAGTGGACCGTTTAAACAAAGGTCAGTTGAAGGGAGCAAAGTTTGTTTACCTTGATTCCTACAAGAGTACCTATGATCTCGCTGTCAATGGAGCTACTTACGGTGAGTTAGTCTTATGATTTCATAAAATATATATTAGTCTAATGATTTTATAAAATGTCTTAGTATTGTTTACATTGATCTGACAGGATTTGAGGTTGTGGACAAAGGTTGTTGTGGGGTGGGGAGGAACAATGGTCAGATCACGTGTCTGCCGCTGCAGACCCCGTGCCCTGACCGAACTAAGTATCTCTTTTGGGATGCGTTTCATCCGACAGAGACTGCTAACATATTGCTTGCAAAATCTAATTTCAACTCCCGAGCTTACGCTTACCCCATCAACATTCAAGAACTAGCCAATATTTGAAGAAATAAGATCTTGATCTCCCATATGAATGCATATATGGCTATTTATAAAGTGTTTCTCTTCCTATGTATTAACTAATGTTTCTTTGAAATAACTAATGTTTCTTTGTTTCTGTATTGTTCCTCTACTTAACTCTCAACTATGAGAGAAACATATGACACAAGTGCTCACTTTGATACCAAACCTGACAAAAGCCGAAGTTAATAGAATTGATTCTATGAATACTCGGACCACGACGAAGCTCTTCAAGTGTTTGTTAATTCAAAGCCTTTTTTTGTATGAATTTAAAATTTATTCACCAAAAATATGTTTGTACAATGAATGTGACCTTGAGAGTTGAAAGTTTGAGACTGAAAAAGGAACCGTAACTATAAGCTAAAACAGAGTAAGAGGTCTAATGGATAGGAGTGCTAAACCAGTAGAGTAGCCCCTCCCTCATCGTACACAGTTTTTCCCGAACTTTGAATGGAGCTGAAGCGGTTAATTCAGAGTCGAATACCGAAACAGGGGATTTGAGAAAAAAAAAACTCTTTTCTCGACTCTTTGTTTAATCTCAAACAAAATGTGTCTCTCCTTACAAAGCTCATATGCACTTATCTATATTGTGCAAACAAGAAGCATATGAGCTTTGTAATTACGTAGACTCACCAAATCAATTAAGGACAATAACATAGATGGAACCAAAACATAATCTCACAAAGGATCATGATGTTCAAGACACGTGGAAGCAGAATCTGAAGGACCCCAATGAAACAAAGAAATATGAGGATAAAAAAAACATAACAAAATGCATCCAAGAGGGAAAATCAGGCAATGGGCAGAAAAAGAAGCATCAACTTCTGATAGTAGACTAGTAGAGTGCCTGAAATTTCAGGATCAACAAAGTTCTGATCCATAAGAAAGGATTGAGAAGAAGGTTTACAAACCTGCTGAGTACCAAAGAGAAGAGGTTGAAACTGAAGTCGAGAAAAAGAGACATGTTTTCACTGTCATGAGAGAAACTGAGCTTGTTGTTCGAAAAATTGATGACACAAGTCATGAAACTGAGAAGCTCAAGTTTATGATGGAATCTGAGGACCAAAGAGATTCAACAAGTGAGAATATAGAAACTGTGGTTAAGGAGGACAAAGCAATGGCTTAGGAAACTGAGAAGCACATTAGTAGTATAAATATGTATTAGGTTAAGATGGAACATTAGTAGTATAAATATGTATGTGTGTGTAATATCAATAGAATGAGAGACTAAGGAGAAAAAGGTTTAAGTGGCTTAACCTAGAAAAACCAACATCTACCAAAGAGACCAATCGAATTGTACTTTGTAAAAAAAGCCTAGAGAAGAAGACAAAATATGAGATTACATATAGGTAAACAAAAGAGACAAGTTTAAAATACCAAATACAAATACATCTAGAGACGAAAAAAAGAAAAAAAAACACCAAGTACATTAATAAAAGGGGTTTCATTGTATCACAAGGCAAAGAGGAGCTTCGTCGAGCTTTCTTACTCTCTGGTAGTCTTCATTCTTCTTCAGAGACCGAAAAAAGAAACCACAAAATTAATGAGATCAGGTAGTGATTTGTTACCAAAAAAACAAAGAATCAAGAGCATATTTTACGTACATGGGTGAGAATGCGCACTGGAACATATTGGCAACATATAAGCAGCTTTGATATTCCATCCATCTACGTCACAACCACAAAAATTAGTGATAAGTTTACCATGAAACAAGAAACAAAGAATCAAGAGCATAGTTTACTTACAATGGTGAAAGTAAAGCCCGGTGGTGTTACGTAGATGGGTACGATGTTCGACACGTTTTTTATGCTTGACATTTGTCGGAAACACACTGCCAACTATGATATTCTCTTCAGGACCCACCTGGCGAGCTTCTTCCACCTCCTCCTCATCATCATCACCATCATCATCATACTCATGATGCTCATCTACCTCATCATCATCACTTACATAATCTGAGTAATTTCCAAGCACATATACTATTTTCCACCCTTCGAAGTAACTTCCACTAAGTTCCAAGGCCTTGTCTTCGGCACTTTCTTCATCAAAAAAGACTCCGGGCAGAACTGTAAAACATTTACTAGTTAGCAATTTAACTTGAGGAAGAAGCCACCATATATATATATACAAACCTCTCTAGATGGGCTGAGATCAAACCGAGTAGATACAGGATACTCCGAACTCATATGTCTAGTAAAACATAGATATGAGTAGAAGTTAAGAAACATATGACTAATCACCAATTACTCTACTTCTTTGTACAACTATAAAAATTGAACTAGCATTTCACAAAATTTCTTTAGTTCCATCCCGAGATCATTATCCTAGACAAAGACATAGCATTTTTCTTGGCTCTTAGTTTTTAGCTTTAAAAATTGTCCTGTAAAATCACAATATTACGTACTTACAAGAACAGAAAAATTGTTCTCCAACTTATAAGTTCTAAATACCACATAACTTTTTCATACCCAAAAGAGGTTAAAGAGAATGGAAACTAGGATTTAAAGGTTGGTTTGGTGTTGAAAATAAAATGTGGAAGTCAATTAGGGATTTTCATGAAAGAAGATTTCGTTAAATGCCTATTTTAAATTATTAGTTTGTGTTTTATCTAAATTTTAATTTAGAATAATTTATATTTAACTAGAGAGAAACCCACGCGATGCGTGGGATACTGATTAAAAATGTAATTGCAAAATAAATAATACAATAATAGGTTTTGATGTCCTTCCAAATAATTATACATGAATTTGTTTAACACTTTAGTTATTCCTTTTGTTATCAGTTTAAGAATTTTGTTATAAAGAAAGGTAAAGTACGTATAGAGTGGCTAAAAATAGAAAGTATTGGCATATATATTATGAAATTTATTTTGAATGTAAAAATTAGTATGTAATAAAACTTTTTCTGAAGGAAAAAGGTCAACAAAGAATAAAAAGTAGATGTTTTTTGGAAAAGAAAAAATACTCATCTTCCAACGAAAAAATTAGTGATCATAATCTCAAATATTATATTTTATCCTTCAACTCTATCATCATCTTCTCCTTCTTTTTTTTCTATAACAAAAGTGTAGATAAGGGTTTGGCCATTAATTCTAATTTAAAAATGAGCTCGTCATGAAGTTTTTAACTTCTTTTTCACGACATGTGGTCCTTTTTCTTTGTCTTTAAATGCTCAAAAAAAAATCCTATATTTTGTCTTTTTTTTTTTTTCATCATTCAAAGTTATAAGAAAAATTAAAATAGTTTAGAAATAGATAAGATGCTATATTATTTATTTCATATTATCCCTTCACTTTATAATAAATAATTTGCAAGACCTTATTATTAGATTTTATTTTTGAAAATGCACTTTTTGGTGTGCTATATTTAAAAAATGTCCCCTTCTTTTGTGTATTTTCAAAAATTTGTCTCATTAAACCTAAAAAGGTTTATGAGGTACTTCTGGATGGTAAGTATTACTCAAGCCTCGATCTAAGTATTTATAAGGTTTTATAACGTATTTATGTAACATATTTATAAGATTTTATAAGATATGTATAAGATTTTATAAGGTATTTATAAGTTTTAATCATGTATTTATACATATAAATGTAGTTTTGTATGCTTTTATAATGTTACATACGTACTTAGGTAAATCTTAGATTATTAAAGAAATTTTTAAAAGGTTTTACGTAGGTTTTATTTTTGAAAAGAAGTATTGGAAAAAAGCATTCCTAACAATTCCTCAATTTACAATGTCATTTTAATAATTTTATTACATTTTGCTTCTCGAATAGTATTCATTTATATAATGATTTATAGTACATATAATACATGACGATGTAGCACGGGTAAAATCCTAGAATTAAAAATAAAAATATAATGATATTATCTTAAACACTAAACAAACCAAACAATATTAACAAAACAAATATTACTTAAAATTTAAGTTTTTAGTTTTAAAAAATCAATCCGCAATATACCGCGGGGTAAAATTTTTAGATACAAAATAATATCAAATTATTATAATAGTCCATGATTATAAATGGTTGCCAATATTAACACTACATCAATACAAATTAACACATTTAAGTAAACAAATACAACAACTCAAAAACAATATTCATATATTTCAACTATATTAATTATAATATAAATAAGTAAATGAAAAATAATTATTTTATATTATGAATTTAAAAATATAATAAATTATAAATAATTATATAAAATACAGAAAATACAATTTTGCTCCGCGGTGTACCGCGGATTAAATCCTAATTCATTTGGTATTTGTGATTTTCCCACGATAAAATAGATAAAAAGTAAATATAACAGCTTTGAGGAATTTATTTTATATCTTACCAGACCCGGCTCAATAAATTTTAACGAATCGATGTGTCATTTTTTTACTATTCATATTATGACAACATGAACAAAACAAATGAACAAAATAAGTATTAGTCGTCACTAACACCAATCTACGAAAATAAGTCATGTTTTAGCTAATCAACACGAAACTAAGAAATGCATTGTACCAATTGGATATAATGTTACTTTTTGGTGGATCATATTTTAAAAATATTTAAAAGTAAACAATACTTAAATGAGAACATACATATCCAAGCGCATAATTTCTTGACGATCCAACCTCAAATTCAGTAGTGTCGTTTATGTTCTACAACACAATTGTTGGCTAGAATGAAGATAAGGCACATAATAAAATGAAGATGAGTGAGAGAGAGGAAAATGTAAATATCAAATAACTAAATAAAAAAAGAAGTTAATTTAGAAACATAATCATTGTTTGAGCTGAAATAGAGAACTTCTTGTAGAGCATTGAAGAATGTTCCAGCCGTTAAAAGAACAACACACCAAGTGTCTCGATTTTATGGAATTGATTAAATAAGAGACTTGTAACATGAAAACGTAATGTGAAGAAGAAATGTAACGTAAAGAAATATAATGCTACGGTTTTCATTTATTAGATAGAGTAACGTAAGGTAAAAAGTAGGCCTGGGCATTCGGTTAACCGTTCGGTTTCGGTTCGGTTGCGTTCAGTTTCGGTTAGTTCG